AAGAGGAGGAGGAGGAGGAGTGGGGAGAAGGAAGAGAAGGAGGCGGAGAGGAGGGAGAGGGAAAGAGGAGGAGGAAGAGAAGGAGGAGGAGAGATACATACAGGTAGGAAACAGCCAAGACAGAGATTACAGTGATGGCAACCACAAGCCAAGAAACGCCAAGGTGTGCCAGCCACACGAGAAACTAGAGAAGGCAAGGAACGATTCTCCCTTATGGGTTTCAGAGGGATCACGACCCTGAGGACACCCTGACTTCAGACTTCTGGCTCCAGAACCGTGAAACAACACAATCCTGTCGCTCTGAGCCACCTAGTTTGTGGCAACTTTGCGGCCCCAGCGCTAGCAAACCGACATACAACCTCACGAAGGTTTGCTCAGGAAAGAAAAATGAACTACCTGTATAAGCAGCTTTAACATGGGTATTCTAGGACCCACGGGCAAACCTCATCCTAACCAACATAGGAAGCAACTGAAATAAGCATGTGAAAATGTTTCAGGAGAACAACACAGAAGTCAACTGCTACTCTAAAAACCATAAACACTCTTTAAGTCATTAAAATCTTGTCTATCTTGCTGCAAAGCTACAAGTGTGATTAAAGCTGAATATGCAAAGTTTCTTCTGTGCAGGAAAAGGAAAACGTGTTCCTGTGCATTTCTCTCAAAGACGCAGCCTGCGGGAGGCGAGGTCTGCTCACAGATGCTTCCACTCGACCAGGCTCGCTGAGAACCTTCCTCTCTGCCCCATGCCCGTGTCTAACAGGGAAGCAGAATGGACAGACGATGGTCTGAGGACTCCTTCCTTTGCAGGCTTTAAACCCAGCATGGCCCTGATTTCTCTTCCACACCAGCTCCCCCACAGTCACCCAGACAGCAACTCTTGCCTATTCTGCAACAATTCCGATCCCTCCAATTCTTCATTCCTCTTGAAACAACGTTAATTTCGGAATCTCACCACCAATCGTTTACAACACCGACACAATTTTTTGCTGTCTCCCTATACCCTCCCGATTCCTTCCCCAGCATCCCCAACACTGTCAAACCTAACACCACTTCCTATTTTTTTTAACGTTTATTCATTTTTAAGAGAGTGAGAGAGCGTAAGTGGGCCAAAGGCAGAGAGAAGGGGACAGAGGATCCGAAGCAGGCTCCACACTGACAGCAGAGTCCCTGACGCAGGGCTTTAACTCATGAACCAGGAGATCATGGCCTGAGCCGAAGTCAGTTGCTTAACCAGCTGAGCCACCTAGGCGCCCCACACTCCCTCATGATCTCACTGAAACACCTCTGAGAACGTCCACCATGCTTAAAACCCTTCAGTGACCCATGAGCACCTAAGTTCACACTCCCCAAGTGCCCTCCGCCTTGATGCTCTGAGTACTGAACCAACCCTTCCTTCCCAACCCATCTCAAATGCTAATCCTCCTGGGAACCAGCTCACAAGGGCCTAGCTGGCACTGCCCACCCTACTTCTGAATCCCCAAAGGGATATTAAGTCATGGCGAGGGAGAAGACTATGCCGTTCATGGACTTACGAACAGCCCAACTCAAACCCCACACTGAGGCTAGCAAAGGGTCAGCATGTCACGATAACCCCTAAAGAACCCGACTCTACGGCTGGTACGAGTGAATCTAATCACTGACTAGATCACTACAGTCTTACACAGTATGAGTTAAGATGGCAACAAGCAGAAGGCTGTAGGTGTCATAAATCTTGTCTAGACAGAATAAAACTCAAATTTTAGCTTAACCGTATTACCAAGACATAAAATTCAAAATTCAGTATGTGCATATTAGAATAGAAATTCTGCACCTTCAAGGAAAGAAAGAAAAGAGAAACTATGCACACAGTGAGGAAGTAAATCTATTGAGCATTTGTCCGTAAATAATAGGTCTGAGTGGAGAAAGGAGTCACAGTCTCCCGGTGGTTAAATGAGGCTCCATTCAACCCATGAACGGCTTATAAAGGTGCCAGATGTGCTGGCTGGATTTTTCTCAAGTGCTCAGGCTGATGAAAAAGCTGACATTAAATTGCCATTAAAGCCATGAAGTGCATACCCAGAACAGGTCATGCGGGAAAGCGTCAGCCGTCAGAACTCAAGCCAACAAGATTGACTTCACAGTGGCTGCTAGGCAAAACCTAAGCAGCTTTGTGAACACTATAACCTCACTTTACTGGGTGTAGACATCGTTAAGACTTTCACTGCTTTGAAGTTAAGACAAGATCTTTTATAATCCTATTGGACTCGTTCAATGTCACTAAGAGAAAAATAGAAGGAACTTCTTGGGCCTATAACTTCGTAGTAAATCCTTCATTTTCAGTACATGGAAAAAAAGGAAATTGACAAGTGTGTGTGGAAGAGAAGACATACACTCTACAGCCCACGTTTGGCTTTACACCAGGGCTGGGGATCCCAGCGCCACCTTCAAGGTGGAGAGGTGTGCTGCATTTACCTCTGGGGGTCCCAAACATCATCTGAGTCCCAGGCTGCAGGAGACAGTGTCACAGCAAACTTCTGGGCGCCTCCCAAGCTTCTGACCCTCTACGAGCCAAACCTCGCCTAGTCCTGACTACCTGGTGAGTGTCCTCAGCACATCTTTTCTTCCTCGCCTGCTGCCATTTTTACCTCTCACTGCACAAAACACGTGAGAGGCAGGGAAGGAAAGAGGAGTGAACATTGGATCAGTCCATTATATTCACTGCCTATTACCTGTGTCAGGTATGTGCTCCTGAGTGGCTCTCAAATCTCACTGCGTCTAGTTCAGCCTAATCCAAACCACATCACCCGGTTCCTGGACTGCATTAGCCTCTGAACACTTCCTGCTCTACACTAGATCCCCACCCTGACCTCCTCGGATCCGGTCCCTGGGCTGCAGCCAGAGTGAGCTCTGCAAAAGCAAAAAACCTTCCTGTGGTCTATAAGGTGCTCTGCCCCCTGCTCAGGCCTCTCTCTGCACCCTCATCGTCAAATACATGGATCTCCTTCTGGTGCACCAAGTGCTTTCTAATAAGACCTTCTGCCACATAACTATCCCCCCAAAAATGCAGAGTATCAGCCTCCTATCTCCCCCCCCCCCCCCCCCCCCCCCCCCCCACACACACACACATGTAACTCTCCACGGAACTCCTTCAGCCTTCCCAGGAAGCCCCACCTCCAAAATTACAGCGGTGTCTACAAAGCACCTCATAGGACCTCAGCCTTTTTCTTAAAAAAAGAAAAAAAAATTTAATGTTTATTTATTCTTGAGAGATAGAGCATGAGCAGGGGAGGGGGAGACAGACACACAGAATCAGAAGCAGGCTCCATCCAGGCTCT